TTGCTTTCTATGTTGATGTTATTACTTTTCTATATTTCTCAGTTTTAATGAAAATATAATCAAAATTAGAACTTTTTAATAAAAGAAAAGTTTTCATATTATTAGATTGGTCAAAACGGTTGTTGTTATTTTCATTTTGAAAAAAAATTCAAAAAATTCAACTGAGATTATTTTCATTCACTTGATTTATCTATAATTTACTCTTATAGGAATATAATTTTTATTTTTTTTTAATATTTTGAGATATATATATATATATATATATATATATATATTCTAAATCAATATAAGAATTGTGTGATCTTACCAATGATAATATTATTGTATTTTGTTTTGGAGACTTATTTATATTCTACAGTTAGCTTGCAAGATTATTAATATAATTAATATTTATTATAGATTTACCATAAAAATATGACTTTATGTACTATCTAGAATTTTGTAGAAAATATCAATATCTTTTAGATTGTGTATCAATATCTCCAAATTGTTATAAACCTCCAAAAACTTCCAAGTTTATTATTAATAATCTTCTGTAATATTTTACAAAATATTATTAATAATCTTCTATAAGCTTTTGTAATAGTTTCTATAGGATTTAGATACTATCTTGTATATCAAAAGAGAAGAATAGATGTATGGCATTTTTTTAAATTTAGGTTTTGAAGCAATTTATATGTTATATTTTTTTAATCTTTTTTAATTTTTATCTTAATTCAATAATTAAAAAAATATTGATAGCTTGATGTCTTGCCTTTATATCTTTAATAGTGTTTAATTTGAATTATGAAAAATTTTGTCCAAAATTGCATTCACTCGGTTTAAAATACTCTTGAGGAGAATTTCTACAACCTCAGGCAATTACTTAGCATTTACAATAGAATTCTGAAGTAATCTTTAGAAATAATAAGAAAAATAGTATTGCAAAAATTTATAGTTTTATCAATCATATCCAATTGTGTTTTTTTTGGTACTTTTTCCTCGGATTTAGATTCTATATGCATTTACCACAAATTATATAACAAATATTTTTTCCATTATCTTAGTTTTATCAATTATTTGTAACTTTACACACAAAGTTTTGTGATAATTTTTACTAAAAAGTTATTGAGGGTTTCACAGAGAATCATGTCATAAGATAAATATCTCTTCAATATCTAATTTCCTAGTTTTTAAATATATGATGTTTTTGAAGTTAACTTTATACTATACATTTTTGACACAAATTTCTAAGTTTATTTGAAAACCATATCTTTGAGATGCACCCTATGGAAATTATAGATGATAAAAATTATTCATGCCATTTAGGAAAAAAATAGATTCTATCTTATTGTTTCTATTTAAGATTTTTAGACTTATTTCTCAAAATATCAAGCCAATTTAAGGAGGATTGCCAATTTTAACCAATTAAAATGTTTAAAAATTATATCTTCTCACCTTGCTGAGGTATGAAGTGCCTTGTAAATGATATTGACTATATTATTATTGCAACTTATTTTCTAAAATTTTAGAAAACATAACTACAAGAACTGTATATAATAAAAAATTATCTGATTTCTATCCTAGATTGATCATTGAAATTACTATACGAATATTTATTTACACTTTAAAGAATTTTAAATGAAAAATAACAACCAAGGCTTTACATACACACATGTGTTAAATAATTCTTGATTATATTTTTAAATTTAAATTAAAATTATTATAATGAATATTATTATTTTATAATACCAACAACTCTATTTAATGACTTTATGCCAAAGTCCATTAGTTTTTAAAAATTATATTCACATTATGGTGATCATCTTCTACAAAGGATGAAACTACAATCTACTAGTTCATTAGAGACAAGTCTTTCTAATAACAAATATATACACCTTTTTCATTGTTGTCTTTGAATTGTCTATAACTAAAAATAAGAAAGTATAATTTTTGGAGGCATACTTCAAGTGAAACCTGTGACTTTTTAAACCTACTACTTACATTCTCAATCAATATTCTTTGAAAATCATGCCCATCTTCAGCCTTTCCCACCAGACAATTAGATTCTTCTAAAAACAAATACTATATTGATACCGTCTCATTGACTACTCTATTCTTCTATCATTTTTCTCCCACCCATTCCAATGTTAGACCCTACCATTTTGCAAATTTGGATCCACCATTGCTTGCAATTAAAACTTCTAAACAAAACATTTGCCAATTCTTTTGGGAACAAATTCAAAACATTACCACATGGAATGTTGCGAAAGTCCTAATCCATCCAAGATGGATTGAACAACGAGTACTCCTTAAAAAACATTTTTAATACCCTGCGACCCACAACCCTAATCTAATGCTTCCTTACAAACTGTCTGTAAAAGGATGTTGAATGGGTCAAAGCACCCTCATGTGAAGTCCATGCTTTTGTCCTCTTCTGCCAGGGTTATCTCCAGGAAATGCTGAGGATGACTAAGAAATGGCCCAAGTGGAGAATTGGAGGTGGTCCTGCTAAGGATCTGATTTCTTACCATATATTTGATTCAAAAGTGGATTTTTTTATTCTATTTTAAAAAATTATTTTACCGACGTATCGCGCTTAGCATGTTCTGACATTTTCTACGCTTTCCGTAATTAGTTGATGTTTGTGGTGGCACATTTGTCAAGTTGAAATCATCTCACAAATTGCTGGAGTCTTCACATCCGACTGTTATTTTGAGTTCAAATTATCAGTGGTAACCTTTCAATTCACTTTCCTAGTCACCACATTCGTGTATCCTACCTATATATATATATATATAAATAATTTCATAGGCGGTACTGCTTCTCAGTGTGCATAATAAAAGCTCATGGGAGGTGCGTACATTGTGCAGTTTCTTAGTTTTTCTGTCTCAAATTTGTTGGACTGGCCTTCAAGCTTGCCGAGGGAGTTGTAGCTGTGCTTTGATTTCTGAGATATGCTAATATCTTCATTCTGTGACAAGTTGCAGCGTAGTGTTTGTTTCGGGAAGCATCCACTGTGTCGATGGAGCTGTTATTAAAGGTTGCAGAGATGGCACAGGTAAGAAGATAACCCGGACTTGTGTCATTCGGGGCAGCAATCAATAAGATCCAGTTGGGTGGCATGTTTGCTGCTGCTGCTTTCTAGTTGAATTCATAGAGTATAGTTTGATTCTGCACTGTCGGTATGCGAAATCGTCTCTGTTGTATGTATTTGTAGGCCTGAATAACAGCACCTTGGTGTTTGTTTGCTTCAGAACCAACAAGAAGGTACAGTGGGTACTTGAATATTTGATCGGATATGACGCTGTAGCCTTTTTGAGTGACTAGAATGTGCCATGATGATTCGATCACTCCAAAGCCGCGGAGCTCGATATTTGGCTCGAGTAGAAGGGGCGGAGTGCAACGCTCTTCGCAACTTTAGAACAAAACGTTTGCATTGAATATGCCTTGCTCGGAAAGGGATCACCACTGTGTTGTGAAGGGGCTTCGTTATGGGCTTCAATTGTCTTGTGGCGTTTTTGTCTAAGGAAAAACTGCATGAAGGTGGTTTGAAAATTTAGTCGAATTTAAGTGTCGATTGTCGGTAATTATGTCGGTAACCAGAAGTGTTAATCAATGACCATGATTGTGTGAGCAGTTTTTATTACCATCAATATCCTGAATTCGGTAGCTGGCTTCGTGATCTTTTCGACACTGGGATCAGTTTTTGGAGCTTCATTGCAATAATCTGATCTCGAACTGCTGGTAAATTTTACAACTTTGACTCTGTTTAGCAAGTTTTATGTCGTCTTGCCAGCACAGTATCACTTCTTCTATTGGATAAGTCTTTTAATGTAATAACCATTTAAATAGAACACCAAAGTTAATGAACAATTAGAGAATTTTTTTAAATGTCTCCTTGTTTGACCTTTGCATCATTCGGATCAGAGTTAAAGTCACTGATATAATTTGTTAAAGATGAACTCTTTATTTCAGAAAATAATATGAAAATGTTGGTTCATTTACAATGTTTTTGGAAGTGGTGAGATCATTGTTGGATCGAATAACTATAAGATAAAAATTAAAATTAAATATTTACCTCAAATTGTTATATATGTAATAATGGTGGTTAACAATTTAATAATTTGGCGAGAAGCGAAATTTGTCCAAAGGAAAAATATGGAGACATTTAGAGAACCACTCTTACATTAAAGTGGTTTTGCAACATTTTCTATGAAGTAGCTATAAATAAAAGAATGTGTAGAGAAACAAAACTTATAAGAAAAAATATTCTTGATATTTATAGCTAGAAGGAAACTCAACATGATAATAAGTAACTATTTAAAACATGATGTATAGATATTATTATGATTGCCAGGTTGTATTCTAAAGATTAAATGTAGAGCAAAAGAAATCATGTAATCTTCTCTGAATGTTTTGATTTATGATTTGGATAATCTTCTACAGCTTCAATCTTCTACTACTGGTTGTAGTTTTAGAATAGTCTTTTAGTAATATTTTAACATACAAAAGAGATATGCTCATTTAAAGGAATGTGTTTGAAAATTTGTAACGGAAAATAAAAGCTCATAAAACATTAATTAAGCAACAGGATTGATGTAATTGATTCAATTAAATATATTTCTTTACTAAAGAAGACCAATCAAAAACCTATATAAGTATATGAATCAATAAGACTAAAGGCTACAAGTTTAGACTTTATGTTGTATTTTATTAAAATCGACTAAATTTTAAAAAATGAATATTTTGAATACATATCAATAGATGAGATAGTGGTTAAACCAACCATTGTTCGAATTTAAATTTCACTCAAGTTTCATACAATTAGAGATAAAATAATAACATGGTGATTAATAAATGCTGATTTATAATATTCCAAGTAAGAGGATTGTTAAATTGTAAGTATTGTAGTTTGACAATTGAACACATATATACAAGAATATATACTGTACACACATAAAGTTGATTAAGAAAATAACTAGGTAATAAAAATTAAAATATATTTAATATATTATCTTTTAATGCAGGCTAGTAATAAGTTTCTAAATTTCAAAAAACATCAAGAATAAAATTAATGAATTTATTTTAAAAAAATAAAATTTAGAATTATTTATAAAAGTTTGTACCAATTATATATAAGGTGAAGCTTCGTACAAACCTTTATAAATATGATAACAATTTATTTCATTGATTAAAAATAATAGTATGAGATTGATTTCATTGAAAAATAATATTTTTTCATTACATGATTATGTAAGACTTGAAATATAACAAACCATTAGAGTAAGTTAAGAATTTTAAATCTCAAGAAATATCACTTCAATTAATTTATAAAGAAGAAACATTTGATTCTACAAATAAATGTAACAGAATTCCTAATTGAATTACAAGAGTAATTATTTTTTACTAATAAATTAAATAAGTTAGAGTTACAAATATTTATGATTTTTTAGACATCATATTTTTAAAAATGAAAACTTTATTTTATTTTATTTTAAAGTTAAGTATAAATACTTTAAGTAGTATATATGCTAATCATATACATACTCTTAATATCAGTCTTGTCATAATAATCAATATTGAAAAATATATGATATATAATTCTTTTATTATTTAAAATTTAAATATATAATTTAATAAATACATACTTTTTAAAATTTTATAAGATGATTTATATGCAAAGAGACTTTGCTTCACTAATTCAATAGTAATTTCAGTGATGTTATAATATAAAGGTTAAATTAACTTATTCCTATCTATTAAGTTTTATAGAATACCGAAATTTAAATATTAAGTATTATATATAATTTTAATAATTAATTTCACTTATAAATTTTGATTTAAAAAAAAATTAGTAACATAATTGAATCATAAGACTAATAGAATTCAATAAGACTAATGAATCATAAGACTAAATCACAACTACATAGAAGCCACTATTTTACTAAATTTTTCAATTTTTATAGGGTAATTATTTTCTTTATGCCACTTATACAATATTTGAAGAAAGATCTTCTAAAAGTTTTTAAAATTTAGGAACCGAAATATTTTCAAAGGACAAAAAATGATGTGAGAGAATATTAATTATAAAATTTGTTTAAATTTATAATAAACATAAAATATACTATCTAATATAAAACTATTAATAAAATAAATTCTAATATTTTCTAAAATTTTGAAATGAACTAAAAGTGTGAATTTATAATTTTAATTTTAAAAAAGATTAAAAAATTATTTAAATTAATATAGCATATATAAATATCTAATATTTATACTAATATAGTATATATAAATTTCTTTTAAGGTATAAGGTGCATGTTGAATTCAAATTTCTTTCTAAGATATTAGATGCATGTTATTTTTTATTTTATTTTTATTTTATTTTTAAGACAATAGATGCATGTTGAATTTTAATTTGTTTTTAAGGTACTTAATAATATAAATGTTGTAAGAATGTATTACAACATTCTTAACTTCTTAAAGAATTTTTAAGGAGGCTTATTTATTCTTATTTTTTACCTTTGTTTTTTTATAATACAAAAAATTGACCTATTTTTTGGTCCCTTGCTTCATATACTTTATCCTACTTCCTCTTTTAGATCTTTTTAGCTTTTTATATCCTTCCATTATTACATTTCAAAACGTGCTTGAGGAACAAAAGATCAAATAATTCATTGATTTTTTAATCATGGAAAATATTTGATTTAATTCTTATTATTCTTTTAAATTCTTAAGAAATAAAAATTTAAACAATAATTTTTTTCTTTGTTAACATTACATTCATGTTCTATTTGTTTAAATATTTATTAGATTAAATATTGTCAAGGATAAGAATTTGATGAAGGCAAATAAATAAGTGAGACTTTTTTCAAAAAAAGATGATAAATATATATATATATATATATATATATATATATATTAAAAGAAACTAAAATGACTATTTTCAAAAGTCAAAAAAACTAATGACTCTTAAAACTAGATTAGAAACAAGAAAAAAATTCATAAGAGTGAAAAACACTTTACTTTTGTTTTTACATTATTAATTACTTAAGAGATATGTGGCAATGCTTTATAAGACCTATAATAAGTGTCTAATTTGTAAAACATATGTCTTAATTTGTATTGAGCATACATATAAGCTAACAATATAGCATACATATAAGCTAACAATATAGCATACATACAAGCTAACAATATAGCATACATATAAGAAACTTACCTTGGTAATTACATGTTGATGAAGTTTAAGATGCAACACATTATATTGGCCACATATTCTAATCATTGTTTCCTTTGAAGGTAGTTGATAGGTTCTTTTAGCCATCAATAATATTTTATTTTAGGGTGAAAAGATTATCCTATTATTTGATCATTGTTGAAGCCTTCATAACTTCTTTCAAACAAAATACTTGTTATACCATCAAGAATTATTCCTACTTATAATAAAATCACCAAATTAAAGATATAATGCATTAGATATTATGTATCTTGTAATTTATTCAAAAGAAAACATGACATTTATAAATATCTTCATCACAATTACGTCTTCTTGAAGGCTATGATAATCATAATGTCTCATTTGATAAGTCAATAAATGATGGTTCTTGAATTGAATATACTAGTTGTAGATTTTCTATTTTTTTAGTGTCACAAAATACAAAGAATTCACAATAAAAGATAAAAGATAGAATGCAATCTCCATTGAACATTGCAAAAAATTACTTGATTCTTCATCTTTATTTTAATAGATGTTGTTGATAATTTTTTTTAATCTTCTCTATTGCATTTGTAAGATTTTTTGCTGACTTCTATATATGTTCACTAATATCGTATCTATGCCAATGAGTAAGATATTCCAACCTATTTTAGTGCTTCTTTGAGTCTAATCTTTCTTCCACATCAAACTCTTGATTATTATCCACTTCTATAGGAGGTAGTAGCATTTGTTTTCTTCCTCAAATATTTTTTGTCCTATATGGCTCAAGAAAAGACATATAAAATATAAAATAGATCTTCATTGACTCTAGTAGATGTAATTAATAAGCAAGTAGATTGACTTATTCACATATAAGAAATAATACAAGTTTGTAGTAATCCAATTTGTCACAAGAGCAAATAGTCTTGATATTATGAGAAAGTAATTATATCTTATTGTTAATATAGAATTAAGGTTTTTCCTTGTAATAGAAATCCATGTTGATTTTTTGTCATTCTTGAGCTTCATTTAGATGTGCCTTCATTATTATATATAGTTTAGATAAATAATTTGCTAATTTTTTTGTTACAAGATTATCAAGTTTTGAAAAGTCAAAAATATCAAGTTATAGATGATAACCATAATTAACAAAGAAAGGTATTTGTTGAGTAAAAAAATATATTATGTTATTATAAAAAAATCTGCCCATGGCAAAAGAATTGTTCAATCATCTTGTTGATAGTGGATGATACACTTCCAATTTTTCTTGAAAACTTGATTTACATGCTTTGTTTGTCTATCAATTTGAGGATAGAAAGTCAAAAATAGTTTTATATCTAACTTTAAAAACTTAAAAAAAAATCTCTAAAATCTTAATATAAATTGATTTTTTCTATTTAATATGATATCTTTAGATAATCCATGATAGTAATAGATGTTGTCAAGGAAAAACTTAATTGTTTCTTTACTTGGAAAAGATTTTATACATAGTAAAAAGTGTGCCATCTTGATTAAAGAATCTATTATCACAAATATAGAGATATAGAAATTTGAGACTAAAAAATCTATGATAAAATCTATAGAAATGAAAGACCATAGTTGTTTTAAAATAAGAAATATCTAAAAAAAGTATGTGAGGTAGATAATAAGGATTTTTTGATTTTAAAAAAATGTTACATGATTATACAAAATCTTTGAATGCTTTTTGTATTTGAAGCTACTAAAAATCTATAGATACTAATTCCAAAGTCTTGTTATATCCAAAATGTCATGTTTATTGAGAAGTCATAACAAATTTGAAAAACTTGTAATCATGTTTCACCTTCTAGAATATAAAAGTGATTCTCTAAATAGAGTAGATTATTCTTGAATTCAAACCTAGAAGTATCATGAGATTTTGAAGAATTTTCCTTACTATCACAAACGAGAGGATCTAAGGACATACTTGATTGAACTTGCTTAAGAAAAGTTGAATCAACAATTAATATTGATTTCATTACGCAAAGTTAAAATTGCTTTGGCTTTTAGAAAATTATTTGTTGTTGATAAAAAAAATGCATCTTCTTCTATTGATGCAAGATAAGATCATCTAAAAAGAGAATTTAACAAATCTTATTGATTCTTATTCAATAAGTAATCTTGAATTCAAATCTTGATAAAGACATGCTCCAATGGGCTTTGTGACAATTCAAAATATATGTTGATATAAAATATTCAAGGTTCTTATAATTTTTATATATAATGACTTAATTAAAAGTTCCTTCTAAATAATGGTGCTATTTTTGAAATGAATCCACAATTGTAAGATTTTTTTTGTTGTACATCTTATACTTGATTTTAGCTATTGAATTTTTTTTAAATAAAAAACTACTAAGTGAAGTAAGAAAAAAATT